GAGTGCCTGGATCTGTTCCTGGTGCTTGAGCGCGGTGATAATGTCGTGCTTGACGCGTCGGCGAGCGGCGACGGCGACGGGGTGCGGCGCGTGCTGAAGCTCAGCGTGATGGACACGCTCCAGGACTCCTACATGGTGGGGCGTTACGATGACGCGGCCGACACGTTCGTGCCGGCGGAGCCCGAGCGCGGCGACGACGTGCGCGCCTGGCGACGACGTGCGCGCCGCCTGGCGACGGCTGGACTACGGCCACGTGTACGCGTCCAAGGCCTTCTTCGTCGCGCGCTACGGCCGGCGCGTGTTGTGGGCGTGGGCCAACGAGTCTGACAGCCAGGCCGACGATGTTTTTAGATGCCATTTATTAGAAAAACTCTTGGAGATGATTTTTTTCCTCCCCAAATTTTTTTGGGGAATTCCTTGTGTGCCATTAAAAAAGATCGCAATGCCCTGTGTGTCTTTGAAAAAGTTCAGCGGTCTTCAGCGCCACTACTCCAACTTTTTTGTGCCCTCCATGCCACTGCCGTCAGTTTGGGCTCTAACGCCGTCAAAGTGCAGGTGTGAAAAGTCAAAAAATACCCTTAAGCCTAAATATGTCATTATTTTTTTTGAGTATCTTAACGACTTCAAATGGAAAAACTCAAAATTAGAAAGTTGTAGATCTCGTCGAGATCTATAATTTTTATATAAAAATTATCTTCATTTAATTTAGCAAACAAAAGATATGATTTTTCTAAGATATATTAATCATATTTTTTTGCGGAATTAAATGAAGATAATTTTTATATAAAAATTATAGATCTCGACGAGATCTACAATTTTCTAGTTTTGATTTTTTTCATTTGAAGTCGTTAAGATGCTAAAAAAATAATGACATATTTAGACTTAAGGGTATTTTCGACTTTTTCACACCTGCAGCTTGACGATGTTAGAGCCTAAACTGACGACAGTGGCATGGAGGGCACAAAATAGTTGGAGCAGTGACGCTGAAGACCGCTGAACTTTTTCAGAGGTACACAAGGTATTGCGATCATTTTAATGACACACAGGGAATTCCCCCAATCTTTTTAAGAGTTGCCAAACTATAAGTTTTTAGAAAAAAAAAGTAAGAACTCTCGGAGATTCTCTAATACAATTTGGGCCTTGTTTAGTTGGCCGAATTCGGCGCCGCCGGTTTCACTGTGCGTCACTGTAGCGCACTGTAGTATTTCGTTTATATTTGGTAATAATTGTTCAATCGTTAACTAATTAGGTTCAAAACGTTCGTCTCGCAAAGTACAATCTAACTGTGCAATTAGTTTTTTATTTCGTCTATATTTAGTACTTCATGCATGTACCACAAGTTTGATATGACGGGAATCTTCGTTTTGCATAGCGGCGAAGTTGGGAGTTGGGACCACTAAACAAGGCCTTGGGTTCTTAACGTTCACTACATCAGTCACGCGGCGGCGCCACGTGCTGTGCCCGGCCCCGGCGCGAAACGATTGACGAGATCCTGCAGGTTGGCGTGCGACGACCCGCCCACCAGCGCGGCCGCCGCCGCCTTGGCCGCCAGCGCGCGCGCCCGCCGCCTCCTCTCCTCGGCCTCCTCGCCGTCGCCCATCACGCTGCGCACGGCCTCCTCCACCACGTCCCGCCCCACCAGGATCTCCTTCTTCACGGCCTGGAACGTCAGCGGCTCCTTCACCCCGACGCTGACGCCGGTGCCCAGCACCTCCACGACCATCTTCTCGTTCAGGAACTGGTCGGAGAAGTGCGGCCACGTCACCATCGGCAGCCCCGCGGCGATGGCCTCCAGCGTGGAGTTCCACCCGCAGTGCGTCACGAACGCTCCCACCGCGTCGTGGGACAGGATCAGCAGCTGCGGCGCCCACCCTCTGATGAGCAGGCAGCGCCCCGCCCCGACGCGCGCCTCTAGCTCGCGCAGGAACTCGCGCACCGTCTCGTCGTACTCGTCGGCCGTGTCCTTCACCGCCCAGACGAACGGGTGCCCCGACGCTTCCAGCCCGAGGCCCAGCTCCACGACCTGCTTCGGATCCGCCTGCGCGATGCTCCCGAAGGAGACGTACACGACGGACCTGGGCTCCTTGCCGTCGAGCCACCGGAGGCACTCGTCGGGGTCGACGGCGGAGGCCCTCAACCCTCTCGACGCCAGCGTTGACGCCAGTGTCGTGCGGCTGTGGTGGTACGTTGAGACCGGCCCAACGGTCCAGACCTTCATCTCCCGGGCCGCCGCGTAGCCGGCGACGTACTCCGGCTCTAGCTCCAGGAAGGTGTTCACGATGACTCCGTCGGCCTCGGCCCGCGCGCGCTCGACGTAGTCCGCGAACTCCTCCCACCACGGGATTGGGATCCCCCGGAAGAAGCCCGGGGCCTGCGCCCTCGTCACCACGAACCTTCTCTCCAGCCCCGGCACGACGACCGGCTCGTTGGAGTCCTTGACGCCGTCGTACGCGTGGAACCTCTCGAGGTTGTGCTGGCACAGGAGGCCGAAGGCGCACATGCTGAAGAAGCTCAGCCGCGGGACGCCGAGGTTGGCGGCGAGCTCCGTGGTCCATGGGTGGACGAAGTCCGACACGATGCACGTCGGGTACGGCGCGTGAGCGCGGAGGTAGCTCTCGATCGGCGCGCGGAGGAGCGCCATGGCGTGGTAGTAGTTCCACATGTATCTATGTGGAACTCTGTCCCCGTCGTCTGCCCCTTCCGGCAGGCCGGACTCGAAGTAGTCGAGCGGGAACTCGACGAGCCGGACCGGCAGCCTGGTCCGCTGGGTGGACTCGACGGTCCGTCGCACCAGCACAGCCGTGGACGGCGGCGCCACGATGGTGCAGAGCGCGCCGTGGGTGGCGAGCAGCAGGGCGGTGTCGACGGCCGGGATGAGGTGACCCTGCTCTCTCAGCGGGACGAACACGAAGTGCGCCGCCTTTGTGCGGCCGCCGTCATCCTCCGCGTCTCCCCGGGCAAGGATAGACGCTGGCACTTGGCTCGTCATCCTGCTCGTCGTCTTCCCGAGTGAGCTGTGGTTTTCTTGCCTCTGCCCTCTGATGTGCTGTAGACTTTAGGTGGATGTGCGTGCCATCTTAAAAGGAGATATGCTTAGGATTCGGAGCGGCAAAAGTTGTTTGATGAAAGCCAGTGAGTGATTTTCAAACTTTTGTCTGTTGGATTGGATTGAAAATCATCACTGCCTGCACCGTCAGCGTGAGCATGTGAGTTACAATCCTGTGTTTTTTATGGTCCCGTGATGTATACTCCCTCCATAAATAAAAAAAACTGTACATACATCTCGTTTTACAAAAAAGTTACCATTTTTAAGATTGTCCTAATAATATATATATAAATATACAGCACTAATAATATGAGTACTAATAATGTGTGTAATAAATATTAGCAGATTAATGGTGGAATATATTTTTATAATAAATACATTAAGAGATACCAATGTTTATAAATATTTTCTATAAATCTAGTCCAACTAAAAAATTTGACTCCTCAAGAAGCGAGATGCACTTATTTTAGAATGGACAGAACCAGAAATTACCAACATAGGGCTCATGGTACACGTAGGATTGTGCTTAAGTCGTTCTAGCTTTTTTTTTCTCTAGTGTAATATATTACAACAATCAATAGTTTTCGCCGTCTTTGGGGAAAAAATTCAGAAAGCTACCGAGTGACGATGACATGTGCCAGTGGGGGCACACAGTCTCGTAGTTGGTAGATGAAGAAATTCTAGTACTATTTAGTAATATTATATATAAGGTTTTGGTGGCCTAAACGACTGACATTAGAGTATTTAACTATCTGGATGACGAAGTGCGAGTGCCGGCGTAACTGCGTGGTTGCTCCCTGATACAATTACATGATTTTGCTAGTGAAAGTCAATATATCTGGTACGATCTTTGATAGTTAAGATTGTTAATGTTATAAGGGCCTGCTCAGATGTTACGTAGATATATAATCTCCTTTTGTTCAGAAGAAACTTCAAAGAGTCAAATAATTTAAATTTATAAAAAAATATTAACATTTATGGTACCAAATAGGTACCTAGAGATGAAAACAAGTTTTAGAACCATAAATAGACTTAATTTTGCAAGGTTATTTATAGATTCACGTGCAAGGCTATTTGCATCCCTGTAAGCACCATTATATTAATTATGAAATATAGACCTATTTAGAGACATAATTGTTGATATTACTTTCAATAAATTTAGTCAGACTTGAAAAGTTGACTTGATTTAAATTTAAAATAGCATCCCTCGTCGACCTTCGTAACCGCGCTGCGACCTCTGTGCCATCCCACCATGTCCGGATCCTTCCTCGATGTCGCACCCGTGGTCAGATCCTTCCTCGCTGGCCCCATCTGCGGCGGGGTGCCGTAGACGAGGGAGAGATTGGTGGAGAAGATGAGAGCGTCGTTGTAGGAGTCGACGAGCGGGAGGTAGCGGCGACAGAGGCGATGATGGGTGGGGAGGTGTGGTGGAGGAGGCGACGACAAGTAGAGGCCTGGAGGGGCAGTGGCGAGGGTCACCGACAGAGGAAGGCATAGGGTGGGGAGGCGACGCCGCGACAGCCAAAGAAGGGGATCACAGATTTTGAGCAAAAAAAGTGAGTTGAAAGGGATAAGGCTGCATGCTACTTGGCTAATGGATTGTGAGACCATAGTCTATAACGACAATCTTTATGGGGACATAATTTAAATCTCAGAATGACGATTATTCTGTGACAGAGGAAGTATCCTAATGGCACAAAACAGAAGACTACAAAGTGTAATCTAGTTGGGTTTATCAACTGCGTTCAAAAAGTTGGGTTTATCAATCGAGATCCCTGGTGGAAAATCGATTGTAGGAGGTACTGTAGTAGTTACAGGTCCCAGGCTCCTAGCCGAGGGAGACAGCTGCGAATTGAAGTTAGTCAGTATTTGCGCTAGTTGACGTTGGATTTCGTTCGAAACCCAATATTTGTGGTCCTTTGACTCGGCAACTCGTTTCGTACTGGTCAGGACCATGCAGAGATGGAGTACCAACAGAACATTGCAGTCTCGCAATTCACACAAGTTTGTTGAAACAGCAAAAAGCCCCAGCAGCAACCGCAGCTCTAGCAGTTCGTCTGGATCATCCACCAGCGGCGGCAGTTCATCTGGATCTTCATGCAGCGATTCATCAGATTCCGACAGCAGCGACTCTGGCTCCGACGACGAGTGTGTGACAAGCAATCCGGCTCCTGAAGTTCTTCCCAAGACCGACGCCTCTCCCATGGCAATGCCACACAAGGTTCTCAGTGCTATCGCTGCAGAGGAGTTTGCTGAAACCGAGAACAGCCGAAGAAGCAACAGTTCATTACTTGAAGATGGCGAGATAGAAGAAGAGCACGGCACCTCCCCTGTGGCTGCAGAGAAGTTTGCTGAAACCGTCAACAGTACAGGATCTGCCAATGTCCAATGCGTCAGAAGCATCCTGGCTCCTGCCGTCCATCCCGAGCCATCGAAGCCGCAACCACCTGCACAAGGCACTGTTCGTCATTTCTATGCCAAGGGTTATGAGACGAAGCGCGAGAGGGCTTTGGCTGCACAAGGCACCGTTGGTCATTTCTATGCCAAAGCTTTTGAGAAGAAGCGCGAGAGGCAGAGAGCCTACAAAAAGCTAGAAGAGATGGAGAGGAACGCGAAGGCGAAGCCCATCTTCGACTGGATACACCCGAGACACTTGAGGCAGCTAGGGATCACCACCCCGGTGTTGTACGCTGTCACCTCGGAGCGGCGTTTTCCTGCTCGTCGTGGCTGCCCGGTGCAGAGTCTACTTGGGCTCTTCTTGAAAGCAGAGTACCAGACCACGGAGATGGCAAAGGAGCCACTAGATACTCAGGACCTATTATTACAGTAGATTAATGTATTAGTGTTTATGTAATCCGGCTGTACTTTCTGTCGCACAGTATGATGTACTCGTGATGTTGTAATCTGTATGCTGTTGAGTGTTGAACCCTACCAAAGCTTATCGAGCATTGATCAGTCTAGTTTTTTTGAAAGACCATTGATCGATTCACTGATGTATATGTAAAGAATATTGCCTTGAAACCAGTTAACATTGCGCCATTGTGTTATACTTCGTACTCTGTTATATGCTGAGAAAGTTGTATATGGCTAGCTATGTTTGCAGTTTAAGCATGAAAATATTCATAAATTCGGGGAGACAAACTGTCCGCAGCATTGCAATACAAAATTTTACCAACATCCCTGAGTAAAAAGTTGTCTCAAAGTCAAACTTTTTTTTATTTATGACACCAAATTAATATCATTAGATAAAAAAACATAGTTCTATAATATGATTATTTGGTACCATAAATATTTATATTTTTTTCTTAAAAATTGGTCAAACATAAAAAAAGTTTGAGTTAAAACAATTCTAGAAATTGAATTATTCAGAGACGAAAGGAGTATATCTTTTACTAGACGAAAGTTGCACCATTCAAGCTAGCTTATTATCTTGCCACGTGTACAGCTCTTCACAAGGCCACGTACTCAGCTCTTCACAAGGTTGCACAGATCAAGCCATGTTTCTAGAGAGTACAAGAGCTTTAAACATTTTCCCCTGCACCCTGCCATGTTTCTAGAGAGTACGAGAGCATTACATATTTTCCCGACTTCGCCTTGCGTGCGCTGCCGAGACCTCCTGTGCCCACCCACGGTGCTGCAACAGTCGCCGCGGCCGCCGACGCCGCTGCAACCGCCCGCGCGACGCCCACGCGGTCAGCAACCACGGCCGCCACAGCCGACCACGCAACGCAAGGAGCTGCCGATAGAGAAGGGGAACGAGGGTGGAGCTGCACTACCAACCATGCGCGAGGAAGAGCTGGCGATGGGAAGAGAAACAGGAAAGGAGACAAAACGAGTGGAGCACAGGGCGTCCGCGCGTCCTCTGTGAGGTAGTAGGAATAGAAATACAGAATGCGGCCGATTTTTTTTTTTTATTCACGTGAAAGCGTCAGCTTGTGTGGATGTGAGGCCGCAATTTCTAATGAATGTTATTTAGTTATCTCTGCTGCATTGTATCTCCAAATATGTTTATTATGAAAATATATGACATGATCAATCTAATGATGCTTATATGGTAGCACAAATATTAATATTTTTAATATATTTGGTCAAAGTTTGGATTATTTGAGACTCAAAATGCGAGATGAAGACTTATTTTAAGACGGAGGAAGTATATATTAATAATATTTCAAACATATAGAGAAAGTCTTAAACAGGTTCAAAGTTCTGCTTGGACTAAACCTTTGATATAAACATTACTAATGTTAATCATGCTCTAAAACATACATATTTAAATCAAGTAGCAACAGAAAGGTAAAATAAAAATCAAAGACAGGTGCACTCCAAGCAAGGCGCGGCAAAGCCGCGCTGAGTTTTCTAGTGTTCATCAGATTCACCCAGATGCACCCTCCTATAATGCGACTGCATTTGGAGCAAAGCCAATTTTGTAGATAAATGTGGTCTGAAGATATACGATCTACTCGTACACACTTGGTCCAAGTCGGGCACACTGGATCCAGCAGGTTAGCCATCATCCCATTTATCCAATAGTTCAAAAAAACGCTGTGACCTAGTCAATTTTACCCAAACCCCTGGGCGAACTCCTCCATCGTCTCTGAGCAAGTCAGCCATGAAGTGTCCTGCCCGTAGACTGTCTCGTCTCCCATTGTGCTGCATCAAGGTTTGAGAAAACAGTTGCAAGCACTGAAGTGATGATCCAATGTTTGAGATGATATGAACCCAAGATGTGTCTATCAATTTGTTGGCCACACCTTAGGGCACGGTTTGACAAAGGTACCTATGACATGTGGGACATAATGCTAATAAGTGTGGCCAGTAATACAGTTGTGATATAGAACTAAAAACCCACCTAATAATATGTGGTGTAGGACGTTCTGGATACAATCCAAACATAAACACGCACTGACACACCTAATAAATCTTTAAAATTGTATATGATTATATGCACCCAATTACCAAAAAAAAATGTTATCAGATAGAACAACAGATAGACATGAGAGGTAAAAGTTTCTATGACCAACGAGTTCTGGGCAGAGACAAGAACAAAATATTATCAGATCTAGGGGAGATAAAGTATGTGACAGAGAAAGCAAAAGAATTAATTTAACTCTGTATAATTTCACGAGTAAGCCACCAGCATAACCTGAATCCTACCACCCAGGCCCCAGCTCAGACTAACTTCAACTATCAAGTAGACTAACCCTAAAAACTAAGTACTAAAGAACGAAAAGAAAAATGGCTTTCTGAGTTTGCAAAAATGTACAGAGTTCAGTTGGGAGGTTGCACATTGGAAATGAGCTCCTGTGGGCAGGCAGCTCATGCAGTAATGACACCAGACATCCATGGCACAACGACAGGAGCAGTCGGATGAGAATCTCTGTATGGCTCAGAGTACCGGTCTTTGAAGTTTAATCTAGGGTGGTCAGCCTGAAATACAAACCAATACAGCCGAAATTACTTCTCAGGTGGAACAAGATCCATTCTGACAACATATATATGAATGGAACACCAGGATTTTAATGACTACATTAGATCAAACGTGAAAAAAGAAGTTGTTTCATTTGGAAGGAAGAGTCCAAGAATAGCATCTCACTATTAAGTATCTAAAAGGGAATTTATTAAATAAAGAACCTGAATATTCATTCAGATTTCCTCACATGGTCAAAACTTATAGAAAACAAAAATACGAATGTTAAGTCATGAAAGAATAAATTCAAGAGAACTAAAAATAGCATTTTATAGTTTCAGACCATCATGTACAAACATTAGATCTCCAATGTGTATAAAAGGGAGAGAGAATCAACTTCTGGGCATGAATATTTTGAATATGAGAGCAGTTTTTTTTTTTTGCCCGGGTGGCTGGCACACTGGATATCTGGGCCATCCATTTCCATCGGCCCGATCAACCTCAGAAGGAGAGCAACGGGAACCAATGCTCCGGTCGTTCAGTAAAAACTTCCTAGCGAATGTTCGATATTTTTGTGATGCAAAATAAAGTGGCTACTCAAGTGTCTACACTATTGCAGCATAATTTTTTCACTTTCATATACATCATGGACTCCATTTTTTCCTGGTCCATGTTCCACCTTCTATAGATAGCACTGGAATGTTCCAGCTGAGGTGTCCAATAAATCAGTCATCGCAGAAATTTTGGAGAGCTTCAGAAACCATAATGAAACACATTCCAGTGCATGGTAAGAAATTTTAACCACTGCACGGTAGAAAAATTTCACCATACCAATGTGAAAACTTCCGTTAAAACGAATCCTAGCAATCGCAAGCAATGGCCGTGATATTAGGGGCGCCATACAAAGTATCCTCTAACAAGTAACTAGATTTTGTGTTATATCAGCAATTCAGCCAAAATGGGCCACCAAGAAACAGATAACCCCCTAGTTTCTGCAAATTTCCTCTTAGTCAAAACTTTGCAGCAGTGCACCCCTCTTTGTAAATTATGTAATCATGTAACACAAGCCATATATCAATAAAATCAGGTGGGTACCCCGGTTGAAGTGTTCAAAAAAAAAAGAAACAGATAACCTGAACACGCAACACACACATGTTCCCACGAACAGTTTGTACAATACGGTGGACATATTGAGTTATTAACTAAGCGATGGAACAAGACTGTATTATCAAGTAAAAGAAAAAATAACTCAATGCCAGGCCACCAGAATTGTGCCAGCTGCACTTGCGCTGCCTGCTCTATCCACAGCCCAAAACCATGATTGATAACCAAGTTAGAGGCCCAGTAGCTACACTTCATGTGTCCTACTGTTGTTAATAAACCAATACTTGTATCATATATGCAACAAACATAATACAATTTGGAAGTCACTATCCTAGGAAATAGGACAAATTTGGTAATAGTGAACAAACATCACCAACTATGGACAAGAGCTGGACTTAAGTATATTCTCTTATATTAGTTAAGTACTTTAAATATACACATTAACACATAGATACCTGCTTCAACCAGCATTCTTGATGTTTGTGTTCATATTTGTCCGGCGAGTAGCATCCATACTCAGACGGACAGTAAACCCAAATATTACACTTTAAAGCTCCTGGTCTGGCCCTCTTAGCCTGATCTATACAGGCTTGACAGCAATCTGCGGCACTTTCTTTGTGATGTGTTAAGCCCCATCTAACAGCAGTGCCACCATAATCAGTATGCAGTTCAGTATTGCATTCAGGGGGCAAAGGTGGACCAGGTATTATCCCTTCATCTGCAACATTAACATCAATCAAGAACCATTATTCAATTGTCTCTTTGAGCAATTTAAAATTACTGCACAATTTGGTAACCATTAATGACCCGTAAGACCTGATCAACAATGCCAACATGAACAGTGTAAACGAAATAACCTTCTGGTTCATTCTGAGGCTTGTCATCATGTTCAATATGATATATAGTGGGAGGTATCAAAAGACCAATGTCCTCCAATAGCATTTGCCAGTTAAACTCCAAGGCCCGCTTTAACATACCTAAATATCGAATCATAGGACATTACAAATGTTAAAAAAAATTAAACAAGTATAAATATGTCATCATAGTAACTTCAAGTAAGCTCACGTACTTGATTCTTCACTGGAGAGATCAACATTTGATAAATTCTTAGTAGATGTACTTCTCATGTACTTAAGCTTCCCAACACGCCATGCTTCTACAGCTTCTGGTGTATATTAGAAAAATGGAAGGAAACGATTTTATTTTAGGTTAGTAAACATATAACACAAATCATGTCTAACACTACATATATTTAGCCTTGCAATTAATAACTAAGTGGTACATACTTCTACGGATCAAATGCACAACCAGAAAACAATTTTAGATTTTTTCTAACGGTCTAACCTATATCCCCCTCGCTTTCTTTTTAAAGAAAAGGTCTCACCTACAACCCTAAAAGGGAAAGTGTGAAATTCAGTATGACTATGATATCAGTAATAGTAAACTTTCCTAAACCATCAGTATTGCTTGGTACTTTCCTGTCATTATTTGTCTAAATACTAGAGTAAATCATATCTTACAAGCACCTTTATAAAAAAAAAACAAAGGAAATCACAGTTTGGCTTGTCCTATTGACTAACAGAATGAATGCTAACCAATAAGGTTTCGACAAATCAGACAAAACTTGAAAAAATCCAGTGAGGATAAGAAGACAGATAAAAGAAGCAGTTTATAAATGGCAAGTCGCCAAGTCCATGAATAAGTACGCTGGAGTTGTAAGCTGCCAGAACTCAGAAGATAGCTTTTGGCTTAATAATCTTTTATAAGGTTATCATAGAAATGATGGTCCATATAGTTCTCAAAAGTATGGATGGGATTTTTTGTTTTCGTGTGAAATTGCAAAAACAAGTACTCCCTCCATTCCAAATTATACATTGCTCCGTATCTAGACATAGAGTATATTTAGGTGCATAACAAAAGCTACGTAACTACAAACGCCCAAAGCTGCGTACCTACAAAAGCCAAAACGACCAATAATTTAGGACGGAGGGAGTAGAAGAGAAAAGAGAAATAACGAAACATGAAAAGTCCACAAGGACCTATATTCTGCTCTTCTCGAAGAAAGGAAATGATCGGGTAAAGCTCGTCTCAATGTATCTTTTTCAGAACTAAGAGCTGGTACATAGGCGTGAGCCTAACAAAGCACCAGATTAGTAATGGTCCAACTAGCCAGAAGCAGGTATTTTTTTGTACAGTCAACCACAGCAACATGGACACATGATTACGAACCATAAAGGAGCACGACATTCCAGCCCGAGTACTGAAAACAGCAGAGCAACCATCCAGATGCACCGGGCAATAATTCCAACTTGGTAAGTCAACTAAATACTAAAACTGAACTACCAGTATCAAATCAAACAATAGCAGAAATACAAACCTCGTTGTTCCGTGGTACTAGAATTTTCCCCCAAATCGTGCAGCCTCTGCAAAATCTCAAGCGAAACTTTCTGCTTCAGCTCGAGCGGCAGCTCCCTTTGCCTCTTCTCTTCCCTCGCGAATGCCTTGCGCAGCCTCTTCACCTTCTTGTACCAGACGCCAATACCCAATGTGTCAAAAGACCGTTTCAACGGAACGCCTGAACAAATTGAATCCTGACACAAGAGCTCTGTAGAACAGCTATACCGCTTCAACGAGCTCGACGGGCTCAGCCGCGCGGCGAATCTGGATCGACTCCTCCACCCACCTCGTCTGCTCCCTGGAATACTTCAGGTCCCCGCCTAAAGCCACAGCCACGAAATTAATCGGCAGATTAATTTGATCAGAACAACCGGATGGACTAACAGTGAGCTGAGGAGAGGGGAAACAGCGTACGTCTGGGTGCAAACGCGAAGGAGCCGGGAGCGTAGAGCGCGCGGGCCACGAGCAGCGCGGCGACGAGGTTGCCCACGCAGAGGGCGACGGCGACGCGGCGGCAGGTGCACCACCTCGACGCGGCGGCAGCGCGGCCACCGAGCCGCAAGCCCCTCACCATGGCGCCACGTGCGGAGCCATCCTAGCACCGCCGCCGCCGCCGAGGCCGGTGGGCTCCACGCCCCCGCGCTAGGGTTGCGCACGCCGGAGTTCGCCTCGAGCGACGAGCTGTAATCACACTGCGGCACGGTAGGTCGGTAGCAGTGCGCGCTCACGAGAGGGATGTGTTCGATGCCTTTTCGTGCGCGTGTCGCCCCAGGCGGCGGCGCCTTTTGGGGCTTGGCCGTTTGGGAAGCGGCTTGGACGGTAACTTGATCGGGGAGCTGAACCGGTGACGCCACTCGCTGGACCTACTGCTCTAGCAGCCTGTTCGCTCGCTGTTTCAGCCAGTCCAAACCAGCCAGTTAATAATGTTTTTCTCTATAAAAAAATCAGCACCAGCCAGTCCAAACCAGCACCGGAAACCAGCGAACAGGCCCTAGATCTCCGGCTGCCGACAGGTGGGTCCGAGCGGAAGCTGAGCTGCAGGTGCCTGGATCGATCTTCCGATCTTCGTGGCGACCGGTGCGGCGGAGGGGCCCGCACGCCGGTTCACTGGTCACTGTTTACGTTCGGTAGGATTAGTCATTGTTTACCGTAGGAATCTGAAGCTGATTGACTCGGTAGAAGAGAATAACATGAGATGTTGGAATGTTCTGTCCTAGATTAATTACCCTAGGAATCTGGAGTATTAGCAGTCTAATGACCAGTTAGCCGTTACTGCCACGGAAGCCAACTTTTTTATGGGTAGCTGTTGCTGCGTCAGAAGCCATTTTTGCGGGGCTGATAGTTCCTCCTGCAAAAGCAACATGTAGCTCTTCGAAAAGTGCAGAAATGCAGTGTTCATTTTCAGAGGTAAGAAAAAGTAAGGTGTGAATTATAAATCGGTGTCCTGGCGTCCAGCGGTAAAGCATGACAGCGAAGTGTAGCAGTAACACCGCTCGTGAAGTTACATTTCACCTCCACAATAATGTAAATTGTTTCTCTTTACGCAGGGCTCGTCCTGTTCAGCCCTTCCCATGCACCATGGCCCATGGGTGAACCGTGAAGCTTGAGGAGAAAAAAGATGAATTAATTGTGCCCTTCAAACCGCACCATCGCGGATTGCATTGCTACTACTGCCATGGCTTCGGGCTTCGGCCTTTCGCGTGGGCCTGTCCGGTTTCTGGCCCATGTCACTTCTACTGCTACAACAGGCCTGGGCGCACAGCATTGCCGCCAGCGTTATACCACCCATTTCAGCCCAGCTTGACAGCCGCATTCACCACTAAGCAGATCAAATCAGCATCTGTCGCTGGAGTTTTTGAGGTGCCAATCAGACCGGCAAGTGCTCCGGCCTCGCCATTCGACAGCGACTCAGCGAGACGTGGTTGTGCGCAAGACGCCGCGACAGATACGCGAAACGCGCTTGCTTCATCATTGGCCCGGTCTCGCTCCCGTTGCCGCCGGCCGGAGCAAGGGCGAACAAACCGCCGTACGTGCGTCAGGTGGATTGCCTCCTAACCGAGCTGTTCAGTGGTGTACGGCACCTGCGAAAATTAGCTGCAATGCTGGTGGCGAACGGAGTGGAGACGTTGCCATAAACTGCGTGGCAGGTTACCGTCGAATGAACAGAGAGACGGTGAGGACTCTTTAGGCCAGTACATGAAGCACATAATAACAGAACTCAAACGCCGCAAGTTAACAAAGCAGCACAGAGGTAAAAGGATCATCGATCACTCTGAAACACGAATAACTTTATAAAGTCTCAACAACAACAATATGCGTCTCGAGATAGCAACACTTTCAGTCAAATTGTCTGCACTGCGGCATTTCCACAAACACGTCGCGTGCGCTGCCATGGATCTTGAGGCTGCATCATCAGAATTATAAAAGAGGGCACGACCTCACCGCTAGACATGGGAGCACACGACCGTAGAACAAAAACGCGGAGAAGAAGAATTCTCAAGGGGGCCCGCTACTGGTCCTCGGCGGCAGCGGCGGCGGCGGGCGCAGGGTGGGCGGTGAAGATGCGGCGGAGGTGGGACGCGAGGGCGCCGGACGATTCGGCGTCCGCCTCCCTGCGGAGCGCGTCCTGGAGGTCCCGCATGCGGTGGGAGAGGTCCTCGCGCTCGCGGCGGAGGTCGGCGTTGTCGACGGCGAGGTCGTTCAGGCGGTGCTTCTGGCCCAGGGACCGCAGGCTCATCATGAAGACGCCCGCCATCAGGAACAGCTGCACGAACCCCTCCTTGCGCTTCGCCGCGTTCGCCAGCAGCCCCGGCGGGCGCCGCCCCCCGAAGCCGCTGCCGCTGACGTCCGCCATCTTTGCCTGCGGGGTTGGACTCGATCCGGTGGGCTCTGTTCTGGGCTTTGGGGACGCGGATTCGATACCTTGCCTCTAGTAACCAGTAAGTCACGCGTTATGACTTTCCTGGCATCTCATATGCGTTGAAATCGAATCCAATGGCCCTTAGCGATTCAATCAAAGAAGAAGAAGAAGAAAAGAAATGGGAGGAAGGAAGGCGGCAAAATAGAGGCGTCGGGAATCCGTTCTCTTTAAATCCAGGGCTACAGGTGTCGTATCCGGTGTCACGTGAAAGTATTCGAATAGTAATAATAAAATAAATTATAAAAGTCTTTAGTACTTCACGAGACGAATTTATTAAGACTAATTAATCTATTATTAGCACATGTTTGCTGTAGCTTTACTATAGCACCACATTGCTAAATCATAGAGTAATTAGGCTTTAAAATTTTGTCTCGCAAATTAGTCGCAATCTGTGTAATTAGTTAATTTTTAAGTCTATATTTAATACTTCATGCATGTATCTAAACATCCGATAGGATAAGGACCAAACTTTAGGGGAAGAAACTAAACAAGGCTTCAGTAACGCTATGATCCGAGCGTCTGACTCTTTACTCGAGTATCGAACGGACACGGGGTGTGGGGCCATGTGACATAGCCTTTGCTTAACATCCCGTCAATTACCTGTACATCATCTACCCCACTCCGCCGCCTGCCCCGCTGCTCCATGCGCCCGCGCTCGTAGCTCCTGCCGCTGCTCCTGTCATTGCTCTACACGCTCGCCCTGTTCCTCTTGCCATTGCTCCTGCTCCGCCGCCTGACGACGCCAACAGGCACCGCCAACGCAAGGAGAAGCGCCGGGCCTTGGCGCGGAAGCCCTCCAGCCTCGCCTCCTGCTACAACTATGGCACCCTGACGCAGAAGGCGGACAAGGCCGCACCGAGACATGATGCATGTTGCAAATGTATATTTCAAATGTTTCAGACGTTTTAGAGATATGTTTTCATACGGATGTTGCAAAAGTAGATCGGGATGTTGCAATGATTGTATACATATGTTGCAAGCATTTGTGTCCAATATTTTATTTGTTTTTTCCGACATACGTTGCAAGTGTGTTTATCTGGATATTGTATATGTTTTACACATACGTTACAAGTGTTTTATCTAGATGTTGCATATGTTTGCAATGGTTTTAATTATTTTTGTAAGTGTTTCATATGCATGTTTCAAATATTTTATCTGTCTTTTTTATACGTTGCAAGTGTCGCATCTGAAATGTTTCAAAAGTAGATCGGGTGTGCATAAGGGATGCGCATGAGATGCGGGAGAGGGCGTGAGCTATCCCCACGTGGGCGAGTTTCGGGTGGCACGGACACCCGCATGGGCGCGATCGAGCGACGTCCGGCGGCACGAGCTCACGCGTGGACACACGAAACAAAGGGGAAAACCGACTACAGCCGCGGACCTCCATGCGTCGGACGTTCGGGCGCTAGCAGTGTCGTCACGGAATCGCACTCGTGCCCCCGCTCTCTGCAGATGGACCAGGATGTGGTCGTGTCGCGCCGCGCGTGCTGGAATCGTTCCCGATGATTGTCTGCGCCGACGTGAAGGCGCACAAGGCCGGCAGGGCTGCAGGGGCACGCTTGAGTTGATCGTCTGTATGAGAGTGAGAGTTCGATGATGATGAGTTGCTGCGGTTGCTGCCCAACGAATGCTGCCACGCGTTACATACAGAGTTGAGCTCGTCGCTATTCTGGTTGACGCCCTCGACCATGCAGTGGCAGTGCGCGAGCTCGGCAGCGAAGATGGTGCTGTCGCCATCAGCATCGAAGACACGGAAGGCGTGGTGCAGGTCCTCCTCAACCGCGTTCGTGTCACTCACGAGTCACGACAGTGGCGTTGAGCGTCGCGAACTCGTCCAAGGGCGGCCTCATGTTGATGCTCGATCCGGCCGACGCAGAGGTGTGGTGTGCTCCAGCGGCGCCTACTCCCCGCGCTGCTGGCTTTCCAGGGACCAGGGCTGCAGTAGGTCTGCCTGTGGTGGACTGCCCGCAGATCCCTCGGTGGACCAGCCCACCTCGCCTGCTAGAGCACATACTGTACCAGTTTAGCTTCTTGCTTCTTCACTGTCTTCGGCAGCAATAGACAAGATTGAGCGTTGACCATGTCGTGAGGAACTGCTGTGCCTAGACAAATCTGCAGATATGCTGCATAATGTTGTTTTCCTTGATTTGATGAACGAATGCTGATTCTTCCTTCCAAAAATAAAGGGGACGAGAGCATGCCGACAGACTGCTCAACCATTCACGTGAACCACACAGCTTTTAGCTTGCCAATACCATAATTGGTATTCAATTCCTAGCTATTAGTTATCTTTATCCTCACTCACTTCGCTGGTTGGTGCTGGTGGGGTGTTGCCTCCACACTTGACATTCAATTCTTTGTGATGGACTTGAGAATTGAGATTGGTTTCTTCCTACAGAACATCAGATGATTTGGTGGATTTTTCTAAGAGCGCCTGAGATCGCAGAATTCTAGATGGACTTACCGTGGTGGATTGTAGTGCCAAATGATGGAACTGAGCTCATAAAAGGTTAGTGTTGTTTCGTCTTATATGGAACCTGCAAAAAATAGCTCTACTTTTTTCTCTAACTCAAATAGTTTGTTTTTGTAAGCAACAGCTCTAACAGATAATCAGCTGTTCCTGTAATGTTCTCCCTACTTCTGGTGAATCTCAAAACTGTAAACCTAACTACAGTCTTTTTTTCTATACATGATTTGAATAGAAGGATGGAGTTTGCAGAAACAATTTCATGTGCACACTGTCCAAAAAAACTATTAGTTAGTAGCAACTCGGATGAGATTACTTGAACTTGATGGATTCTTAACAAATGCAAAGTATTTGCCAGCCCATCCTAAACTTTAAACACGCTTGGCACATGAAATTAACCCAAACAAATATTAGTATACCATCAAGGTAGAGAAGCATCCTAGTATGAATGATGTACAGCCATACAGGTAGAGAGAAGCATTAAAGTAGATAGTTTTATATACAAGTTCATTCCTCCCCGAGTATTATTCTTTTGTACCACAACCTTCCTTGATGTCGCCTATACATAACAAATTAATAACACGTTTGATTCATTACTTGTACACGCGCTTAGTTGTCGTAGATGCGGCACTCGTCGGTCTCCGGGTTGTCCTTGCAGTACTTCTCCAGCGGGTCGCTGTTCTCCTTGAGGTTGTCGCGGGCGTGGCTCGCCGCGGCGCTGATCTCCTCCACATTGTCCCACGCCGCCGCGCACTCCGCGGTGCCCTTCTGGTCCGCGCACGTCTCCTCCGCCTCCTTGATGCTCTCCGACAGCTTGTCAGAGATGTCCGGCGGCGTCGCTGGCCCGGTCGACCTCACGGCGAACCCGCCGCGGCGCGCCACGGGGAACCAGACGCGGCTGGCGGCCTTCCTCCTTGGGAGCACATCGGCGGCCGCGAAGGTGGTCGCCGGAATAGAGAGGCTTGCCACCGTCGACGCCATTTCTATCTTAGCTAGCTTCCTGTTACAAACTCTATCTCTTGCGTCGACAAGGGATGGTGTGTAGTGCTGGCTGTCACGTAGCTAGAACTGTACTTCAGTACTTGGCATCTTGCGCTGGAGAGACGAGGTTAATATATAGCTTTGTTCGTCGAAGGGCAGGCATTTTACGTGCACTCGTTTCTTATCGCCTGTTGGCCACTCGTTGTGGTACACGTCGCTGCTGCGTTTAGAGATATTTGAAGGGAGATCTTTTGCTCGGTTCGGGAGATCGGAGTTGTTGGCAAGAAAAAAAAACTTTGCAGGTGTGAAAGCGTTGCACGATCTTTTTGTGCTTGTTGTAAAGTTCGTGTAGAACACGATATTAGACGCGAGGTCCGTGTCTGTGCCGCTTGTGTAGAAAAGTGAACTCGATGCGACCAAAACAACAACTCGTTTTCAAGGCTGAACCAAATATCTGAGATATTGTCGGAGGCTGTGGATCGGAGAAACAAACAAATGGTAGCACTACTACTATTATTGATAAATTTCTAGATATTTTTGAACAACTCGATACATTTTTAATTGTGGTGCCTGAGGATAACGTAGGAGATGCATGTCTGGCTGACAATAATCCAAACAAAAGTGCACGGGAGTACTAGACACCCAAGACTAGTGGATGCGTGGACCCAGAGCCTCCGACCGGACTCCTCTGATTAGGCACAATCATTGACAGCTTTCCTAAAGCAGATGTGACATAGTCCAAACTCTTTAAATTTTGACTAAATTTCTAGAAAAATCGGTTAAAATTTATGACACCAAATTAGTGTCATTGGATATACCTAAAATATATTTTGATAATATGCTCATTTTATGTTATACATGTTGTTACTCTTTTCTATAAAGTTAGTTAAACTTAAGATAATTCGACTTGCAAGAATTCTAGGAATTCATTTATCTGGAGACTAAGAGAGTATATAATTATAATATATTGTTTACTAGTATTTTGCCGGCAACCATGCACGCGCGTAGAGACACATAAATCCCTTTTGAACTTCTATACAGTGTTAGTATAGTAATATGAAAGGTAAGGCAAACATAAGTGAAAAAGAGTTCGATACATGGTATAGGGTTAGATGACCCAACTTATCAATTTGGTAGGACCAATATGGATAGGAAGATAGATTTTTTCAAACAAGCATGGGATGTCTGTAATTCTAATTGATATAACTAGAATGAGCATGGGGTGAATATGACCATGTTATGATAAGATCAATGACAAAGGTTAATGAATACCATATCATAAATTATATTGTCGGGTTCATAAACCCGGGATCCCCAATAGACCCGCTTCCCTATAAAACTCAGCCCAGCAGGCGACGCGGCGACAGCACGCGCCTGGGTCGGCCCAGATACACAATGATAGGCTAAGACCACGATCCGGTCCCCGACCGGCACATCCGGCCAAGAGATCTGGTCAGAGCCCCGACCGAAAGGCCTGGCCGTGGTGGGACCGCAGTCCGACTCCGACCCCTTTCTCCTACCGAGGATACGCCGGACCTCTGCTCGCTTCTCTTTCTCGACCGACACGGTTGGGGCCGACTGAGAACGACCGACCAGGACGTCCGCTCGATGTGGGCCCGGGGAGCAGGCGGAGCAGATAAAGTAAGGGCCCTGTTCGCTTCTCTTATAATCCGTCTTTTTTATCTTGTTTTTTCAGCCGAAGCAATGTTTTTACTCACAACAAATCAGCCGGAACAGTGTTTTGGCTTGTTTTTTCAGCAAAGCGAACGGGGCCAAGGCGCTCAAGTCAACCGCAATATCGAGAACTATACCCTACCATGCCCTGCGCACCTGCAGGACGGTGCCGTCGGGCCATGTCAGACGGACACTGTACAGCCTGCCAGACACGTCAGAGCATAAATAGTATTGTGGGCGCCGTCGTTTTCTTGTAGCCAGCGAACTTAGATAGCCTTGCTAGACACGTCGAGCATAAACGATATTGTAGGGCGCCGTGCGTTGTTTGCATACCAGCGAACAACATGTAGCCTTTGCCAGATACAACAAAGCATTAATAGTAAGGTGGGTGGTGGCGGCATAAACAGTATGGCGGGCGACGGCGGCCATCCTGTACCCGATGGCGTGGGCAACAAGACTAAGCAGCGCCCATATACACTCTCTCTCTTTCTCTCTGACTTGTAAGGACATCCCCTTCAACTATAAAAGGGATGCGCTCTCCCTAAAAGATGACGACCGAGGACTCGAGGACTCGACGACTCGACGGCTACACAGGCTACCAAACACGGTCTCAACAGCTCGTAAGCTCGGGCACACAGAGACGCACACAGAGCACGCGCTACGACACTTAGCATACATTTGAGCCCCTATCACTCTCTTCCACTTGGACTAGAGTCCAACTGGGCCTTTTACACCCCCACTTTATTCCTCACTCGTTTGTAACCCCACAGCAAACTTCGAGCATCTAGGACTCAGGAATAAAGTCACCAACCGACCTCAACTGGACGTAGGGCCCGTTGCCTGAACCAGTATAAATCATGTGTCATTGAGTGCTAGGCCACATCCGATCACAACGCACGGCAAAACTACAAATATTTACTTGTTGGCCACTTTTCGCACCGACAGTTGGCGCCGTCCGTGGGAGGACGCCGTGCGTTTTTTGGTCATCGGATGGCCCACCTTTCCACCATCTTTGGCATGGCGGGCTCGAGCAATACGATTCGCTTTGGCTCGCTATAGTTTTCCATGCTCCCACTTATTGGGATGTGGGTTCCTCCCGTCTTTGAGCCGCTCTAGACCTTTCTCTTCGGAAGTCTAGACTTCATCGCCGACCAGCTCAGCGTACTCCGCCTCCGTGAGGAGGCGCTCGTCCCGGCATCCATTGGAGGAGGAGCGCCCTCCACCGGCCCCGGGTCGCTCGACGACCTCGACGTCGAGACACTCGCACTCTGCCTCGAGCCCATGCTGGGCTCAAATCCCATGGTGAGTAACATAGATATTATTCTTTACTCACTGTTTAACACCTTCCGTCAGCTCTCCGGAGGGACCCCATTGTCCCCACCGTGACCGCCATGCGATCGGTTCTCCTATGGCTTCGCGTCGCACATGGACGCGTGCGCACAGGGGCTCTGGAGGATGCTGACGCCGCCCCCCTCTCACGTCCAAGTCTATGGGGATGACGTGCTATGCCCCCGCCTCCTTCCACGACCAGGTCGATGATGTGGTCAAAAGCGATGGCTCCATCATCGACGACGTCATGTCACTTGGCCACCCTCTATCCTAGGAGTGCGCTATGGCGGATGTCCCAGGACAGCTACCGGAGGTGGTAGAGTCTCTGCAGACTCACACCCCTCCGGACCCCCATGCGTAGGCCCTAGCGCGTGCGTAGGAGCATGGCGAGGAGTTACGACAAAGGCAGCAGAGGAAGCCGCAACCTGCACCGGCGCGCCCGGCGCAGCACGCCTGCGCCACACGCGCGTAACCCATCGAGCGGCGCTCAGGGTCATGCCCATCAGGTCCAACGTAACATCTTGGATGGAGGGGACGATCCCCCTTAGTTTGCTCGGGCTGGCCAGAACATCGCTGCTACGGCGATGCTTCTGCGTGGCCTCCCCGAGCCTGCCGACCCCCAAGAGTTGGCGATCCACCGCAACCTCCGGGCTGGTGGAGACCACCGCCGTTCAATAGGGGAAAGCTCCGCGTCGTGACACCAGCACGCGGCCTCTTGCCCAGCCGTTGGACTTGGGCCGCACCAGTCGAATCACTCCGTCCACTCACCACAGCAGTTGTCGGGCGTGGAGTAGGAGGCCACGGCTGCGCCGTAGCCCAACCCAGCGCTCGCTCCACACCAAGCACATATGCGCGAATGGCTTGGGCCAAACCGTGATGCTCATAGCATCATCAACAATCGACGCCATGCCCAACACGATGATGACGTCCATCGAATGGCGGCGAGAGCAGGCGGCGCAGGCCCTGGCTTGAACATCGAGAAGTGCGAGGACACGCACCTGAGGCATGGCGACCGACTAAACGACCAAAGGCCTAGCCTAGAGGGCCCGAGGCCACAGGCCCTTGGTTGCCGCATCCATAAAGCGTCGTTTTCGCAGCGCTTCCGACCGTCCACCAACATCGCCATATACAGCAGGTAGACAAACCCCAATATATGGCTCGTAGACTTTCGGCTCGCCTACCAAGCCAGAGGAGTGGATGATTACTACTTCATCATCCAGTACCTCCCCATCTGTGGAATCTCCATCGAGGAGAGGCCAGTGGGTCACCCAAGTCGATCGGACGGCTCAGGCGGCTGCCGAGAGACAGGTAAGGAGCAGTGGGATGCCCCATGTGGGTTATGCTGACTCCGACATGAACAACGGACCTGGTGAAATGTCCTAATGGCTAGAGGGGGGTGAATAGCCTATTAAAAAATTCTATAACAACACTTAACAAACCGATTAGACAATTATGAGGCAAAGCAAGTGTTGCGCTAGCCTACTAAAAATGCAAGCCACCTACCACAATTCTAGTTTCTATAGTTTCTATCCGCACAATAGCTATGTCACTATACTAAGTTAGTGTGCTCTCAAAGACTAACTAAAGAGCAACACTAACCAAACTAACAAGCTCTCACAACTAGCAACACTAAAGAGCTTGACAGCTAGTTTGCGGTAATGTAAAGAGTATGAGCAAGATGGTTATACCGTTGAGTCGAGGAAGGAGCCAATCAATCACAAGAATGAATACTAATGAAGACCAATCACCTCGGAATAAAATGATGACACAATGATTTTTACCGAGGTTCACTTGCTTGCCGACAAGCTAGTCCTCGTTGTGGCGATTCACTCACTTGGAGGTTCACGCGCTAATTGGCATCACACGCCAAACCCTCAATAGGGTGCCGCACAACCAACATAAGATGAGGATCACACAAGCCACAAGCAATTCACTAGAGTATATTTTGGCTCTCCGTCAGGGAAAGGTCAAGAACCCCTCCCAATCACCACGATCGG